ATTACATTTATATTATTTTATTATATATTATTTTATGTTATATTTTTTTATATTATATTACATTTATTAAAGATATGAGAGTTTTACCTTGACTATAAAATGCTTTATCTTGATTATAAAATGTAATTCTTATCGTTTGAGTTATGATTTTTATGCCTTTAATACCTGAATTTGATAAAAAAATAGCAATATTAAATTTTGATTTGGAGAAGTGCTATTTTTGAAATTTGACCAAAGTGCCAAATAGAAAAGTTTCTTGTTTTGCTAAATTCACCCCTTCAGTTTAGACATGCAGATCTGAGACGCCCTGTATATAAAAACGCTCCTAGTATGTCGGTTTATGATTCAAGATTTTTACACTCAATTGTCAATTGACGGATCAAGCGACGCGGTAGCGTCAATATATACGCTTGATCGCGTATATCTTCCTATGAAAAAAAAGGCCGGGAGCTTTAAGACTCTATCCTGAAATGGGTGATGGACAATGTAACGAAGCGGAAACGCGACGCGGCCCGGCGACGTCATCGTGATCGTCGCGCCATCGTCGTCGTCGTCGTCGTCTTCGTCGTCGTCTTCGTCTTCGTCTTCGTCATCGTCGTCTTTGCCGTTGGCCGTTTTGCCTGCGTGGCCGATGCTGTCCGAAAAATCAAAAATAGCCGATGCGCGGCAGTCAGTGCGGCGATGTCGACGGCGAACGACGGTTCGGCGGTACGGTTCGGCCGATGGTGGTGGTGCTGGCGTAGAAGAAGGCGGAGTATTACCACCCGCGGCCCTGCGATGCCGACGACGACGGATTACCCGAGGACGATGGTCCTGATTGTCGTGCTGGCGTTGATCTCGATCCTCCTAGGTCATGTTGACGCCGCCGCAAGGACGAAAGCCGAGGAGTCGGCCTCGCCCCGCGGCACGACCGGCAAGCAGCGGGAGGCCGAGCCGGTGATCGAGGAAGTCACTGCCAAGCAACTCGAACGGCTCCTTAACGAGAAGGATTTTGTTGCCGTGTATTGGTGTAAGTGCTGCTCTCCGTTCTCATGTAACCAAGATCCTTCACGGTATCCGCGTACATCGCGCACAAACCGTGGCGTGTGGTATCGCAATCGCTTCGCGGTGAACGAGCGGTGACGACAGGTACGATGCGACCCTTCGAATTAACCATGAACGCGCGAACAAAATACACATGCACACACACAAATTTATATAATTTTCTAAATAATTAAATATATATTACTATATTCTATATATCTAATATTTTTAAATTTCCATCCAACGGTATTTTTCGTAATAAGAAAACAGCCCCCAACTTTTACGCGATACAAAATTATATATTTGCGATCGTATCGCAATTGCTGAAAGCGTTAAAAAAATTTTCAATGAAATGACATTCTTCCTCTCAAAATTGATGATGCATCTCGAAATTCGCATCGATACGAAACGTCGTTTCTCATAAGATCGCACGACGGTGCGAGCATCCACGTAGCTGTGATTCGCGTCTATATTCGTATCGACATCGAACTCACGTTTCGATTCTTGTGATTTGGCACTCAAGCGGGATGCTGCGCGCCGCGACTCGTGTGGTGGTCATTCTTGTTCTTTTATCCGCGCATACATATCATATTTCGTTAACATAAAGGGGAAGATAAAAGATGTTCCTATTTTCTATTTATTTTTTTACTCGAACAAACTAGTATGTTGCGCATACGTTTTTTCACTGAAACTACTATATAAGAATAACAAAGATTCCTATGACAAGTAAATGATACAATAACAGATGCTATATCTGGTAGCAATTAATATTTGTATATTGTAATTTAATATATATTAAAATTCTAAATAATAAATATTAAGTAAATTAAAATAATTCACACCACATATAAAGAAACATAATAATACTTATAAAACAAAGTAACCCCCATGTTGTATATAATAATAATAATATTTATAAAACAAAGTAACCCCCATGTTGTGATAAATGAAAATAGAAAAAAAAAGAAATAGAGGGAGAGAGAGAGATAGCAGCAAAGTGGCGAAATATTAAACAATATTTGAGTTTGACAAATCATGATATTAAAATGCAGATTTTATAAAGGGTTTTAAAAAAAAATCTTTAAAAGATTAACATAGCCAATTAAATATAACAGATTAATTTGACCTTTTTGAAAATTCATATTTTACAATTCTGTCTTGCGATGGCATTTTTTGCTTAATCGACGAGATCCGCATGTAATCTTTTTTCGTCTTTTATGACATTTTCTTCTGCTAATCGTGAAAACGCATTAACATTTTCCGGGCTCTCGTTAGTACATTATATAACGCGAGTGGGTGTTGATGAAAGCTACAGTCAGAGTTACGGAACGCTGTTCGTCATTGAGACTGTTCTATATACGCAGCGAAGAAAAGAGTAATCTTATATACGAGATACATCAATGGTACGCCAATAAAAAACACACAGTAATGTAATTACATTTTCGGGCCAAAATATTTCGCTCGAGAAGCTCACCACAACGTATACATATAAGTTGTTTTCAAAAAAATAAAATTTCTTGCCCATGTTTTATAATTTGAATACAAAATTTCCGACTTTTATAATTTCCTACTCTCGGAAGAATAACTATCGTACGAACATAATTCTTGTGTGAAATTACGGTTTTGCAGTAACGATACGTTTTATCGATACACGCTTCACACACGCATATAAACGATAATTCTACTCCCGCAGATTGCCCTCACGTGAAAATTAACAGGTACTAAATTCCCTCCTTCTGCCAAGTGCTACGACCGCTCAGTAGGACAGCCTGTCTCGAGGTAGTTTCCCGAGTTTGCTAATCTGGCAATTTAATTACCGCATGCAAACGATTAATTTGATTTAAGCTAACTCTCGCTAATCGTCTAGAGTCTAGGTGATAGAGGCTATCGGAATAAATCGGACAAAATCCCGTTTTAAATAAATGTGTATTAGGATACCGATATTGAATTGCTATATGCTGAATATACCGAAGGTCATATCTCATATGGCAAAATGCCAAAATGCATGCTTGTGTACGCCTTTCAGAGCTCCCCAAAGATAATTGATGTAATACAATCCCCTTTTCCTTTTTCTACAGTCGAGATGAATGTCTGTAAAAATGTCTCTTTACGTTGCACATCTCTCTCCGCATCTTTTTACGAGAATAACTTTAGAATTTATAAAAAATTTTATAAATTTATATTTGTCCGACATGTCACACACACATTAGAATATCTAAAGACGCGAATTGCGTCTTTTTGATTTAAATCATTGTATATCTGCGTTTCGTCAACGTCAAAGATAAAATTGGTCCGTGCAGTTACTTGTTAGAGAGCAATCCAGGAAGTACATATAGCGATAACTGACTCATTAGCGTGACGCATAGGAAGATGCAGAAGCCCACGAGCCATGATGGTAACGCGTTAAAACGTCAACCGCGATTCCATCGAATTTACTCGAAATTTAACTCGCGATACTATTTTAATAATGTCTCAATCTCTGCGCAATTAATCGTAATATATTAATACGTCATTTTTGCAAATTGATGATTAATTGATTTAGGATTAAACGATATGTGTTTGCATATTATATTCGAATTTTAGACAAGAATCGTGGCTTTGATCGGAAATCAGGAAGAATAAAGGATATTATAATGTCTGTATGATGTGTATATCTTATAAGGAATAGATATTAAAATAAACGAATTTCGAAATAAAATTTCTGACAACCTGTTCGTATGTATCGGTCGCCTGAGAGCGCTCGGGCTCGCATAGTCACCGTAATTTTCTCTTGAATCATCTTTTCGTAATACCGCGTGATATAATCGACCCCGGATTTTCGGCCGCGAACAAACACAAACGTGCCATCGGCGGTAAGCACGACTAGCTCACCTTTACCGCATCGACTCAAAATACATTGTCCCGAAATGTTCGCCGATTTAGCTTTGAACCGCGCGTGTAATGCGACACGTGGCGGTGCTTGTATGAATATGTATATGGGTATGTGCGCGCGCGCGCAGAATTACGTGAGAGAAAGTTATTTAAATTTAAATTTAAATTTCAATAAAACGTACGCGATATCAAGCCATTTGTTGCAAAAGAAACGAATGTGAGATTCCGAGACTCTCGCGATCTCGCAGTCGCTGCGATCGGAATTTAAGCCCGAAACGCATTCCAAAAATTCAAGATCGGCCGGCCGAAACGGAGGATGATCGTCGAAAGATTTTTGCTCGCTTCTTGAACGCGCTGTAGCAAGGCTGGCGCTCCGGTGGAGGCCGCTTTTAGCACACGTTAGAAGTTATTTTCGCGCTTACCCCTCTCGACTTATATCGTCTCCGCTGAAAACATAATGCCGTCCCAGCCGCGACCACCCTGCCCACCGCGTAGATCGCGTTGGGCTCGTCGTCGCGTAACACGGACCTGTTCTCGCCGTTTCTGGTTCTCCAAGGGCTCGTGCGAGAGACACGAAAATGCCATGTATCGGAGTCGTAAGCGGAGGACACCGTAGGATCCGCGGAGGACCCGGACGACGAGCTCGCGAGCAGAACCTATTTCCAGATTACCTCGGTTTCTCTCGTCTGTACGGCGTCCTACCCATATGTGGGTGAAATTGATTTTTTTTTTTTCTCTATCTCTCTCTTTAGCCTGCTACTATATATTTACATCAGGCTGAATTCAATCTCTCAGGCTTATTCGTTTCGCAAGCTATTTCTGAATTATTTTTTTCACTAGACAAAAGAATCGAAGCAAAAATTTTAGAAGCGTTAAATTTATTTGAAAGAAAATAAGAGCGCATTTGATACTCTCCTTAGACGAGATCTTAGATTCCGAAGCAAAAGAATTTTTTCGCGCGAGATAGAACGAGAAGGGGAACAAAAAAGGAGAGAACGATTATCGAGAGAGATACGATAGAATCGACTGGCGAAGCGTTGGAGGACTTGTCAGACGACGAGCTCACGCGTCGAACCTATTTCCAGCTGCAACGTCCTCGCGGCTCATGTCACAGAACGCTCTCGTGTCGAATTCTTTTCTTCTAGGTTACTAGGTTTAGGGACTCGTATATGTCTGTCTTCTTTTTATCATGCCTGTGCATTGCCCTCCCCCCTCCCCCCGCCTCCCCACTATATCGCTGCTCTAATATTGCTCTAATCTTGAGGTAGGCCTTTAATTAGTACATCTGTCAGAGAATTTGACATTGTTCCCAATATTAAGAAACCAAGTATTAATGATAAAATTCGCAAATTTTAATTAATATTAACTAAAGTAAAAAAATATAATTAAATTAGAATAATGATGTAACATTTATCGAAAGTTAGGTAATTTTGAATTTAATTGCGTTTATATAATCCGCGAAAACAATGTAATTGTGAGAATACTGGAGTTATATCTGATATTTGAGAGAGAAACTGTAAAGTTCTTCTTTCTTGGCACATAATAGATTATGCAGTTGACAATTTATGCAACAGTCGCTTAAATATAGTTAAATTAGTTTTGATACGCGATATATTCTGAAATTTAACGAAATCCTGCCGCGAAAGCGAAATTCGGGAATAATTCGTATAATAATAGCATCGATCGAGCAATATCGGCATTTCGAGAGCCCTAGACATCCTTTCGGCCAGAAATCTAAAATTACTCATATCCACCGTGCGGGGATGCTTCTTCCGCCTCTGCGTCACGGTGAAATACTTACTCCGCGTGTACACGTGGCCCTGTTTCCCAGAGTCGAGTCAATGGATTAAAAAGATATAGATGTGCATGAATTTGTGTACTCTCGCCGTTCAATAAAGTATCGCATAATTTTACCTTCATTATCGAAATATATTAAAACATGAATCTTAATATTTAGAAGTTTCAATATTTATGCTGTATTGAATTATGTCGTTGCAATGAAAAATTATATGAACTTTCTTCCTGTATTATAGATTGAAATAAATTAATTATTTTGCATGTGTCGTGACTTGTATTTGATACAATAGATTCGTGAAATATATTGAAAATTCATCTTTCTCGATTTATAGAAGGGAAAAGAGTATTAATAGATAGCTTTAATCAGCTTTCATATGCTTTAATTAAAACAATTAGGAAAGAAGTTTTCAGTATATTTCGACCAATTTATACCACCGAATACAAATAATATGGCATGCGAAAAAAAAAGTAATTTATTTCTATATATAATTCAAGGAAAAAAGTTTTATTATTTTTAGCTTTAACACGTCACGATTCAATATAGCTGCAGTGAAGAATCAAAAGCTTAAAAATACGAGATCTTGTTCTGCAAACCCCTGTCATCGTAACTCGCGTGATTTTCTTTTAAACCAAGCCACACATTCGCGACTGCGACATTCGAAACGTTACCGATATAATAGCAATCTGGGCCATTGCATGGGTGGCTCCTGTACAGATAAATTCGCGCGCATACATACAAATAGAGCGACTCACGAATAGAGCGGAAACATTCTACGCACGTGTGACGATTAGTCTTATTCGTTTGTGAAGCGCGCTCTCCCGCAAATATTTTGTCTTCTATTTCTGAGAGAAGGTTATATCCCAGCAAAATTATCGCTATAGTGAACATGACATTATGGGAATATTGACTTAGCTTAGAGATATAAAAAAATTGAAAGATTATGATCAATCAACGAGTTGATAATTACAGATTATATGACAGACATATCTCGAGCGAGAGAAATAAAAAGACAGCGTATTATTCATATAACTATTAAACGATATATCGTAATTGCAACAACGTAAATAATCATATTTTACTTTTTTATTTTTTGATATATATTTTTTAATATACTTTTATTTTATTTTATTATTTTTATTCTAATTTTTTTCTATTGATTATCGCGCGATTTCTTCGAAATAGTTTTTCCATCCGTAAATGTACATATACATCACACCTAATATTCCGTGCCTTGGAACACATAATACACGGACCGCAACGATGAATAGTGCAATTTATTCCTATGTTTGTTCCTCCCTCGCCAATTTATTTGTATATTATGCCTGACGATTTATTTAAATTGTTACTCCACTTTGCGTTCAACGTCGAGATTCAATTTCGTTATTTCAACGAATTCTTGGGACTGAGACTTGTATCTTTTTCCTCTCGTCTTTTCATCCTTTGAGAAGAGAGAATCTCGTTTACTAATTAAATTTTCTTTGCGCGCGTTTAATGAAAAGCAACGACGACGAGATCAAACGCGCATTTAAGCAAGCGCGTCCTTGGCGAGAAGATATCCGCGGACAACGGCGACGAAGATGAGAAGACGACGACGACAACGATATGGGCGAGGCCGTTCGTTCTTGTATTTTTAGTGGCTCGTAAACTAGGCACTGGCCGTCGTTCGATCTCGTCGTCTATCTCTCTCTCTCCTTCGTATAATATGGTAGTATATATACAGTTCGACGATTAAATAATGTAAAATCAATTTTTAAAAAATTATGATAATTTCACGCGATAAAAAATATTTTATTTTCGAATGCAGCGTCATTAAGACATATAAAAACGATCAGAGGTAGCTTAGTGATAAGAGTTTGTCTCGAAAAAACGAAAACTTTTATGCTTTTTATTAAAACTTTAACAAAATTTTATTAAAAGTAAAGTTCTATCTCAAGAAAAAAAATTTTTATATACACACACATGTCTCTAGCGAGTGGAAAGGTCAACCAATCACTGAAATGATTTATTTCGCGAAAAGGGGGTAATCGCAAAGAGCCAAATCGGGAAAATACAGCAAACGTGCATACTTGTTTTCGAATTGAAAGAGAGATTTTTCGAAAACTTACAGACTCACAAAAGATTGTGACAAGCTCGTTGCGATCTATACCGAAATTGGATCTTTGCAAATTATGTTTCAATCATTGTTTGAGCGTTCGACACTGGAGGGATTTATTTTAAATAAAACGTAATAATTTTTCCATAATCACACATTGTAATTTTTTTATATAAAATCAATCTTTCATTATCTAATTATTTATCGCGATTGTTTTTGCCTTCGAGCTATAAAAGCACATTCATTCCTTTGCCATTTCGAAATGCCGAAAAAAAGTGCAATATATTTATAAAGACGGAATTTCCGTGCACTTGGGCATTGCATCGAAGTGAGAATCGCGCATATAAATACATTCAATATCTCCGGCTGACCGATTGAGACTAATCCGAAAGTTGAGGCCAACCGACAGTTGCATCTCGATCGAATATGCATTCTTCGCCAGAGGTGAACATAATTTAGTTATGTACCTCGTGGCAGCTGTCGATGTGACGACGAACGAAATACTTCTACGAGCGCACCTGTCGCCTTTAATCGGGAGCAATGTCGCAAATGTGAAATGTCATCTGTTGTTACTTTGTCAAATAATTAATGCAATCTCTCATTTATTGCACGATAACTATCACGCAGTCCGTTAATTTTTTTTTAATAATAATTTTATATATTTAATCTTTCTTTACACACTGATATCAGTGAGATATGTGGATGATTCTATTGAGATATGTAAACGTGTCGTAAATTGCGGTCCCTTTCCCGATAATTCTTTCGGAATCAAAACACAAAGTAAAAATAGATTTGTTTACGACATTGTATTTATATTCATTCACGATCTTTGCCTGTGGTTCTTTCCAAATAAGCGAATAAGAGTATTGCATTTCTAAACTTTTATTATTTTTCAGTTTCTAAAAATCCTCAGCACATTGAAACAATAATCAAATATTTCGATCATACTATAATAATTTAGTCACTTAGCGAGAGTCACGCAAAGTTCTTTAATTGACAAACGAATAAATTACTAATTACACTACTCATTCTGAATTTCCAAATTATTTATCCACATATTTCAAACGCGAAAATCCGGAATATACACAATTAGAATCGCATTATTTTAAGAGATTTCAGTAATTATGCCGATAATGTCAGTAAGTTGTCAATCTCAGCTGTTCCTTCTTCGTAAGCATTTGTTTGGCTGAATCTTTTTCATTCGTATCCGCTAATGGGTTATCGTCCAATTTCTCTTAACTTTCGACTATTACGGCAGCAACCGGTGGACACGGTCCAATTTATCTGGCACGACTTTTCGAAAATTCCTTCGCGCTCTATCTCTTTCATATCTATCTCTCTTTCTCACTTTGCGCCTCTTAGTCAGACCATTCTGCCAACCATTTTGCGGGGGTGTCCTTTAACCGAATGCTATTACGTTATTCCCAGTAATGGCGGTGGAGGAAGAGGTAGAGAGACAGAAAAAGACAGGTAGATAAATGGAGGTAAAAAGAGAAAGAAAAGTAGGCAGATATATAATCGCGCAAGAGCAAAGAGAAGCGTAACGAAAAGAGTGGCTGCTCCTACATCAGCGGGTACATATGCAGACAAGCCGAAAGAAAGAGAGAGAAAGACAGACGGCAAAATCGAGAGCGAACGAAAAGACAACAGAAATAGAGAGGAAGAGAATCGGAACCACCTCTCCTGTTTCTTCTAGCTCTATTCTGAGGAAGTCGTCACCAAAAATGGTGGGGCGCGCGAAACGTGTACGCGTGACGAAGAACGTAACATCGTCGTCCCCGTCTCGTTATCATCGACATGACCGCGAATCAAGGTCCCCGTCGTGGCGAACCGTTATAGCGGTCGATATAAATGCGAGAGGAAAATCAATCGGGGACAATACCTCGATATCTATAGCTGATCATTGTAACCCAACACCCGCAACCGTCACCGCAGAAGTATCGGCGCGATCTCTGTACGCTCGAATGAAGCGCAACCCGCCAAGAATGCATACAATTGCCAAGGCAGAAAAGGCAAAAATGTACACAAAGGAGAGAGAGAAAGAGATCGAGTCTCTCTTCAGCCACCTGAGAGAAAGCGCGCAGCGTGCTTGAAATGAAATAAAGAACGAAATTGTTTTTATTTATTGAACCAAGGATTTAATTCGTGAGCCATTTAATTTGCGATCCGTATATTTTCCAACAAATATCTTATTTTTCGTTACTTGATATTGTGTTCGGCTTAATTAAAAATTTTTCTACAGATGCACGAAGTTGCGTCACATGCGACAAGGTCCTGGCCGAATTGGAGAAAATCGACGACGATACGGATCACTTTGGAGTTGACTTTGTCAAGATCAACGATAAACGACTGGCGAAGCAATATGGTATCAAAAACTTTCCAGCTCTTACGTATTTCCGCGAGAAAGAACCAATTATATATGAAGGTAAGCCTCAGCTTTCTTTAATTTTTTTTCGCAAAGTTACCTATCGCGATAAATAAATATCTGCTGGAAAATTCACAATAAATATTGTAATTAATAATTCGCTCTAAATTTATTATTTATAATTATGATTATATTCATTATTATTGTTATGATGTTAAAAATTATAATAAAAACAACACTAAAAATTATCAGTCGCACATCTAACAACATATACGTGACGCTTGTTTTTTAGGGGACCTGATGGACGAAGAAAATGTATTGGATTTTCTCACGAGTTTGGAAGCGATGGATCTGCCGGATCGCATCGAAGAAGTTAATGCCAAGATTCTGACGAAAATCGTCGAAGAAACAGACTTTGTGGCGGTTCTTTTCTGTAAGTCGCTTTCTTTATTATTATCTATATCGTTAAATACATTGAATTTATGTTCCGATCGATCCAATACCACGCGAAGATCGCACGCAACCATCCAGAGTGCGTTATTTTCCATTGTTCACCAATTTATTTCCAATGGAATATCGAGCATGCTGTCGCACTATAAAATGTCTTGCAAAATAATTTTACATTAAAAAGATATAAGATACACGCAAAATACTTTTAAAAATTAGACGAATATTTTAAAATAAAAAATTGAACAGAGATAATTTTAATTGATAAAATATTTAAATATTCATACGATATATTTATATGATTTTTTTATTACAAATTTCAAATACTTATATGATCATCAATCATGAAATATAATTAAAGAGAAAGTCTGACAGTAACGTTCCATGTGATCATAATATATTCCACACAGTTTCAATAATACACATGAACACCTTAATGATTTAATACTCTATAATTTGTAAACTGTGAACTCACAAACAACCAGATATGATCTTGATACAAAACGAAGAAGTTCTACAATATATTAAGCCAACCTTTAGTGCAATTTAAAAGAATTGTCAAACGAGCGAACAAGCGATCGAACAGCAAAAGAGAAGTGCAGAAAGAGACGCTCGCGCTAACAGTTAGACAGCTCTAATTTAATTGCACGAATAAAGAATTTTTTTTTAAGTAGTAGCGGAGACGCAGAGCATGATTGGTTTCAACTGGCGCCTCTGAATTTTTCAAAGTAGCACGACGTAGTTCATATATATCTCTCGTAAGATTTCCCCTGGTTGGAAATCCATTTACGAGATTAATCTAGGCTAGTAATCGTGCCAATCGGCGCCAAAAATCAAGGGATACACAGCAATGCTATGTAATGTACCCTGACCGTGTCAGTGTCGTACCCACATATTATCGTGTAATATCTATCGTTCATTTAACTTGTTATCGTCCGACCGTCTTACTAATCATCATCTGTGTATATCACGTGTGCGACGAGAAGAGTTGTTGTACATAAAATATAAAAATGACCATTAACTCTTCTGCAAGTTTACTACAATTTCAAGCTATCGCGTACCTCTACCATGTGCACGATCAATTATGTTATAAAGCAACGAATTAATAATAGCAATTTTATAATAAGACAGCTTATATATCACAAATCTTTTTTTTATCACAAAGCTTTTTTAATCGTAATTAGACAGTACGTATCATCGTGTACAATACTCCGCCATGCAGTAACTTAATGCCATCTATGAAAATCGGGCACGAACTTATGCAATCATCCAATATATATATATATGCAGAGAAGGATTCTCAAAGAGAGAGATTTTTATCAACGAATCAGACAATAAAAAAAAAATACTTGTAATCATTCTCTGTATAAAGCGCAATGTTTACGTCGGTTTGTTTACCTCTGTTAAGTCTCCATCCATCTATCTCTATTGTCTTTGTCTTCCGTCATTGTCCGTGTCGATGTTCGTGTTCAAGTTTGAAACATCCTATCGCAAAATGGGGAACTGGAAAGATATGAATCATCATCATAACAATGAAGACAATCAAATCTGTCATGCTGGATCATTCCGTCCACTTTGCGATTCGATCACATACGATATACTTGTAAATAATACATATATGTGAAAATTCTTGTGTGTGTTGATACGGATAGGTCCGGACACGGAGCGGTGTGCGGGCGCTGGGTCTAGTAAGTACATATTTATAAGAGAACGATGTTCTACTTGTGGCACAGTATCTCTGTACCCTACGCTTCTTTACACGTACATACATACGCACACATACACTGCAACATGCACCCAATATCGGCTGAAGCACTAATGAAAAATCACTTTGCCGTTTATAGAGTTATTACCATCAACTACCATCATAATGTTTGAAATCATTCTTCTTTTTCTGTGCCTGATCTTTTATCGCAAACTTATTAAATTATGAAAAACGATAAATTATATGATTTTATTTCGTATACTATACAATGAAATTATTCTCCTCTTTTTCTTCTGCGAAAAAATGATTTTTCGCGAGTGCATCATCCGAAATGATATGCTGTGATACGCGTTTACCTCCGGCAAATGTATTTCCTTCAAACACATTCTTAACTATCGATTTGCGTGTTCATCAATTATCAGAGTTGTATCTATCGCATCGTCCCTGCAGCTCTTCGCTCCAATGTACGTGTACAACGACGGAGGGATGCGGTACGCGGAGAAAAAACGGATGTCAATAGAGCGGCAAGAGCTTTTACATTCACACATTTCACTCGTTTCGAATATATCATACATATACGATGGATACTCTGATGAAATATCTTAAAAATTGTTTTTAGTAAATTAGCATTTGATATGAAATAATATATGTGATGTATGTATGTAATTGATAAGAAGAATCAGCTAACATCAAGCTTGCCAAATTTTTCCTTTTCTATTATTTATAAGCACTTTGAATTGTAAATTCTTGGCACGAGGCGCTCTCTAATTTAAATATTTGTAAATATTCAATTACTTTTGCATTCTGAGTGTGCGCAGGCAGATGTGTAAAATATTAAGTGCATTATTCCACATCCCTATTTAGAATAGAACAATGTGTTTTATAAGAGTGAGACTTTTTTGAGAGTATTTGTGTATACTAATCTAATCTCGTTTCAACATTTTTGTTAGACAATCTAAAAAAGAATTATTCATTACTTCCTTCCTCAAAAAAACATAGTAAATCGGATCAAAACTATCTCGACAATATTGCAAAATTTTATGATTTTTATAAATATATTTTGTGTCTAAAATAAAATATATTTACCAAATATATTTATATATATGCCGGCACACCGTTGAGCGTACAACAACACCAACGGCTACATAAAATGATGAGATAAAGTTCAAGCATCATAAGAAATCGAATTTTTAATTTTAATGGTATGGACTTGCGAACGAAATAATTAGCATTTGAGGATGGCATCGTCAACCGTTCGACGACATAGGCACACAATAATGCATCTTTTTATTTCAAATGGGACAGACAAGCCAGACTGCAAAAAGTGCCTTAAGGCTCTGCAAGAACTGGAGAACATCGATGACGAGGCCGATCAGTTAGGCATCGGCTTCGTAAAAATCGCGGACGAGGAGCTCGCGGACGAGTATAACCTCGGTTCTCTTCCAGCCCTTGTTTACTATAGGCATCAAATCCCAATCATTTACGAACGTAAGTAGGAAAGAACGTAAGTAACGTGAAACATTACGCAAAATGCTCGTACGATTTAAATTTATTAAATCGATTTAACACACAATTATCCCATTTTAATCATATAAAACAATTTAGAAACAAAATTAATTGATAGCACGCGCTTTTAGATGAACTGAGTAAAGAAGAAGACGTGCTAGAGTGGCTGGTGGCGAATAAAAGTACGGGAGACGAAGAGGACGTTATCGAGGATGTTACCGCTAAGACGTTGAATACACTAATCGGAAATATAGACAATCTAGTTGTTCTGTTCTGTTCGCATCTATTTCGTTATTATTTTGGCCTCATTTGTCTTGTCCTCGCCTCGTAACGCGACCTCGTGCTTGCAGACGATCACGGCGATGAGGACTCTATGCAGGTTCTGAACGAATTGGAAAAAATCGACGACGACTGCGACAAGCATGGGATTCAGTTTGTGAAGATCGACGACGAGAAGGCGGCGGAAGAATTCGGAATCGACAATTTACCAGCGATTGTCTACTTCGAGAAGCAGATACCAAATGTTTACGACGGTGGGTAGGTGAATCGAATACAGAGAGATAGCATTTTTCTCTCTCTCTCTCTCTCTCTTTCTTTCTCTCTCTCTCTCTCTCTCTCTCTCTCTCTCTCTTTCTCGCTCTCTCTCTTTATGTAAACGATACCGAAAATATAATCCCAGATATACATTGTAATAAAGATGAAAAATTCACGAAAAATCGATTCGTAGATAGAGAATTCGATTCGAGATAAAGTAACTCTATGATTGCAGGAGATATAGAAAATGAGGATGAAATCCTGGAGTGGTTGCTGTCGCAACTCGAAAAGGATGAGATCGAGGACGTCACTGATGAGATGCTGGATCGTCTCATCAAAGACGGGAAGACCTTGGCCGTGCTTTTCTGTAAGTTGCTCGCGAAAGATTCGCACTATAATCGATCTATACAAATGATATTAGGACGTATTCGTAATGATCGCAGATGATAACAACGATCGGAAGTCACAGAGAGTTCTCAACGAGTTGGAGAACATTGATGACGAGTGCGATCAGCTCGGCGTAACATTCGTGAAAATCGACAGTTCGGAAGAGGCCAAGGAATATGGCATCGAGAAAATACCTGCGATGCTTTACTTCGAGAAAGGCATTCCGATGCTGTATCAAGGCAATCTGGAGGACGAGGAGAAGGTGCTCAAATGGTTGGAGCAACAGCAAAAGGCTGACCAAATCGAAGACGTCACGGATGAAATGCTCGACATGGTTATCGAGAAGATGCCGCTCGTAGCCGTCCTCTTTTGTCAGTAATATATTTCGCGTTTTTCCTACCATCTCTCCTTTCTTCTGAGTTTTTCCTTGTTCAAAACTGTTCATCTAATTATATTGCTTACAATCGTTGATTCTATCATCGCTCTGCAGATGACAAAGATCAAAAAAAGAGTCAGAAGGTGCTGAGCGAACTGGAGAACATTGACGATGATTGCGATCAACATAACATAGCTTTTGTGAAGATCAGTGATTTGGACGAGGCGAAGGAGTACGGCATAGACACGCTTCCCACTTTAGTGCTCTTTGAACGAAAAATACCGCATATTTACGATGGTTAGTCTTGATTATCATTTACATAAGATCGACAAACGTAAATTAATTAAAAAATATTGAAGAAGGTCCTCCAATTGCGTTGCAGGCGATCTCATGAACGAGGATCAAATACTAGGCTGGCTGTTGCATCAGAAAAAGCATGCCGAGATTCCGGAAGTAACGGATGAAATGATCGAGAAGCTCGTGGAGACCTCACCGTACACGGCAGTTCTGTTTTGTAAGCGATCGATTCGTCTTTCTATCTCTCTTTTTAATATTCTTCCACTGTTGTTTGTCAAGTAAGTGCTGTTATATGCCGCGAATGAGATTAATCAGCAAATTAATTTTTTTTTCCATAGACGACAAGGACGATAAGCAGGACATAAGGATCCTAAACGAGTTGGAAAATATCGACGACGAGTTGGAGAAAGAAGGCATCATCATTGTTCGAATAGACAACGATGCCGAGGCGAAGGAATACGGTATCGATCATCTGCCGACCTTGGTATACTTCGAGGATAAAATTCCAGCGATATACGAGGGTGATCTGTTGAACGAAGACGAAGTCCTCGAATGGCTGATACAGCAGAAGAACAGCGCTACCATCGAGGAAGTCACGGATGAGATATTGACGGATCTTATAGAGGACCACGAATACGTTGTAGTATATTTCAGTAAGCATCTTTTTCATCAATATTTTTTTAATAGACTGCGAGACAAGTTAAAATCATCAGTAGCGGCAATTTCTTTCTGCTCTCGTTTGATATGAGTAATCAAAAATTATGACAGGTGGAAGTTGTGATGAAGGAGATAAATGTGACACTATCCTCGACGAATTGGAGAATATCGATGATGAACTCGACGAAACGGGCATTATATTCGTCACTACCGAAGACACTGTCATAGCAAAGAAATATGGCATCAAACATTTTCCAACTCTCGCGTTCTTCAGAAACAGGGACCCACTGATCTATACCGGCGATCTCAATGATGAAGATGAAGTACTGTCTTGGATCACGGACGAGGACACTTTGGAGATACCAGGGAAAATCGAAGAAGTCAATGCTAGAATGCTGGAGAACATCCTCGACGAAAACGACTATGTCGTTGTCTTTTTCTGTACGTCAATCGCAATACGATCGAGCACATCGTTATATAATTGATTGATCACGATATATTTGACCGCTTGTTTGCAGACAAAGAAGGCGATAAGAAAAGCCAGAAGATCCTCCAGGAGCTCGAGAATATCGATGATGAGTGCGAAGAAAAAAAGATCGATTTCGTAAAGATCTCCGACGAGGGAATCGAGAAGGAATATGATCTTCCGGGATTACCGGCATTGGCATTCTACAGACACAAGTTCCGACAGATCTATTCGGGTGACATGATGCACGAGGAAGAGATCTTAGAATGGGTCCTCGATCTTCGCACAACAACACCGGATGTTATCGAAAGCGTCGATAGAAAAACGTTACAAGTTCTCATCAACGATGTTGAACATCTCGCCGTTTTCTTCTGTGAGTATCCATTTTTATCTTTTTGATATTAAATTTGTATATGTATTCAGTGCGTATTTTTACTAAAGAAAAATCTTAAGATTCAAAATTGGTCAAAGGATTCATAGTTCAATATATAATATGTTTAGTGAGAGACATTCTGTAATAAATCGTAAAAACATTTGTTCTTTTTTATGTAAAATATAAAACATAGTATTTAACTAAATCTTTTCAAAAATTATGTACTCTTAATTTATAATGCCAACTCTAAATAAAATAATTATTGTAATAGAAATAATAGTAGATAATACAAAGATTTATATTTTTGCGTATATGTGTATTGCGCAATTTGCATTATATATGCATGATAAATTATTTAACAGACGACGACAAATGTGAGTCCTGCACGGAAATCCTGGAGGAGTTAGAAACGATTGACGATGATACTGACAAACACGGTATTCAATTCGTCAAATCAAACGATGCTAAACTGGCGGCTGAAATCGGTGTTTTCTCCTTTCCGGCTCTCGTTTACTACGAGACCGGAGTTCCCATCATGTACGACGGTAAGTACCAAAAGACTCCATTTTTGCTTTTTATTATTACCTCGTCCTTGCTATATGATCCTTGTTTTCTATGGAAAGAAAACAAGCTCGAGCACTTTATGCTCTACTATGCGCATTCTTCCTTTATTAAGTCACTCTTCTATATACGTTCTCGAAATAAATTTTCGTTAATTAACAAAGAGAGTTTAATAAAAATTAAATTCCGATAAAAAATCAAACATATTAAATGGAAACATGTTTTACTTTTTATTATAATAATTCGTTATCATACGATACGTACATAAAATGCGCCATAATATTACCATTGTACTTCTTGTGAATTATTCAGTAAATGTAAAATATTAATTTTCAATAATTAACATGATACGATAAAATGAAGAGCGACTTAGCACATTCCTTTCAGCAACTTCCGCGTCGATAAAGCGATAACGAAACCCTCCACCGACACGATCTCGGTGCATAATTAAATCCGGCTGATCCTGATACGCGTGTGTGCCTTTTGTAGGTAATCTTAAGAACGAGGACAGAGTTCTGGAATGGCTAATCGAACAGAAAAGTAAGGAGATTTCTAGGATGATGATTATTATTACTGGTGTACTGTTCTTTGTGACGTTAATCTCGGTCGTGACTATACCACCGGGCTACGAGTACAACACTCGCGCCGTGGTGATCACCCCGATCACACTACCACCATCACGATCACCATGATCGAAATCGTGAAAAAGAAAAAAAAAAGAGAACAAAGCACACGTCGAGTCTAGGGATTTTCCTGTAATGATTATCATCGATTTAATGGCGCGATGCATGCTTTCGGTTCGCGTTCTCAAAAAAAGTTCGATCAAAAAAAGTCGCGAGATGAAAGAAGCTCGTTGAAACGTATAAAATGGATTCTTTTTTTTTTAATATGCATACGCTAGCCATATAACTTTTTGATTACGGCACAATGCATTTAAAACACAATCGCAAGCTTACTCTCTCACTTACTTGTGCCTCTTTCTCTCTCTCACCTTGTCATTACGCATTAGTATGCAGCTGCATCGGTGCAATAATGCACGTGTCGTGTATTGGCGGTAATGCGTCGGGCAAATTTTCTCGGAGCTATAATTTCGCGAAAGAAAATTGTCATGGTGCCTCACCGCTCGATTATGAATAATGATCTCGTGAGTGAAATATCGAAGCTTTATCTCTCGCAGCTTTTCTTGCATTAATAACGGCTGTTTTTATTTCTTTTTTTTTGTTTTCTCTCTTTGCATTTAACGAAATCTTTATAATTCATTCATGATAGAACATTAAAATCGCAAGTTGTTTTACAAATTAGCAACATCAGTAAATTTTATTTAAAAACAAAAGGTAATATCAAAGAATATAAAAAATATATAAATAATATTATTAATGATAAATTTTGTATTTTAATTGATATCAATGCAAATATTTTTTTGCATATTATCATATCATGTCTTTAAATCATATGTATACAATTTAAATCATATAATACAATTTACACTTATAATTTTTTGCAAACGATTGCTTTACGACACGTGTTCATATTTCGAACACTATTTGATTTATTATTTATCTTATTTTCCATAATGAGCAAACACTTACCGCAAATTTACGAGATAGGAAACGACTTTTGGGGGGAAATATCAGTTTTCCTTTTTACATAATATAATAATTATGTAACAATATTGCGGGAATGTTTAATGTGATGCGTCAATAATGTTTGTTTCTAAAATGCATGTCATCCCTTTGGACCGAGGCTGTATCGATCACAAAAAACCTAGGTACACAATTTGAATTTCAATCGTGCTATATATTATCCTTGATCCCGTTAATATGCAGGTAATGATAGTGATCGATGATGATGATGATGATGATGATGATGATGATGATGATGATGACGAAGACGACGATGACGAGGACGACGATGACGACGACGACGATAACGAAGACGACGATGACGAAGACGACGACGACGAAGACGACGATGATAATGATGATGATGATGATGATGATGAGGATGAGGAGGATGAGGATGATGATGATGACGACGACGATGATGATGAGGATAATGATGAAGACGACGACAATGATGATAATGACAACGACGAAGATAACAATAAAAAATTGAACAAAGCCCTGAAGAGTATCCTGGACAAAGGTAAAGGTCCAACGACAACCCAGGAGGCCGAAGAGGAGCTCACGTGAGATCGAAGTGTGACGGGCTTTGTGTTGCGCAAAAGAAAGATAATATCTCAAAAATAGTAGAGATACATTTAATGGACCAATAGACCGATTGGTATTGATCATAACAACATAATTTAGATGAAACGTGGCTATTCACTCACCATTCACGGTAGAGCTGAACCGTGTAGGACATACCTGCATGTGAACGTTGTTATTATATTTTCTCTACTCACACCTGCAAAGTGTATCCTATGCCTGGATTCTCCTTTTTCCACTCAGCCGTCAAAATTCCCTCAAGATTTCCAAATCTTTCTCGCGTAATGCATGCCCGCCTTATAACAATTCCTTATTTTATTAGTGGAGTTACTCCCCCGAGTCGTCGTAAATCATACTTAATCCGCAATAAATTCTCGCATAAAAATGTAATAAAAAAAAGATTTTATATTGATAAAATAATATATCGTCATATTTATTTGATAATTATATTTTAATTCATTCTCTCCATAAAATAAATTTTAATTCGTTTTTTTATCTAAAATTTATACATTGCGAGATTTATGGCGTGCTCTCGGTCACATTTTTACCTGCTATAATACGGCCATCTCCAAAGCGAGCCGATGGTTCCTGTTGTAATTGACAGCTGTCGTCTGCAGCATATTTCGAGTCGAGAAGAATCAGACTAGTCTCCGTTCAAAAGAATAAATAAAAGATGGGAACGGATGAGCATTTCGGATTAATATGACATGGTTCGCATAGTATCATGGCAAATTTCTTCTTGTTACGATAGAGTTATTTGCATCTCACGTAAGATATTACGCGTAAGATATATAAATGTCACTATAAAAAATGCTATCAAACGAATATGAATGAAAAGGAGGCTGGTTCATGTTTTAAAATTACTATCTAGAAAGAGTCGTCGACTCGCCGCGAGATTCTCTATTAAAACATTGTCTATTAAAAACATGCACGTTTGGCTTTTGCTAAGCAATTAAGATTGCAGTGGAACGTTCTCTATGCGCTAGCAACGTCGAGATCGCACGAGTCAATATATTTTCGTTTTTCCTCGATTCTCTCTTTCTTGTTTCCAATGTCTCGTTTATCTCTCTCTTTTTCTTCTTCATTTTCTTTTTGTCATTCTGCCCATTCGTTCCCTCATTCAAAATCATCATTTTATCCATATTCCACTTACTTACTTAGATTGACTCGTGCGACGAGACCAATCAGTTATAGGCTAGCCAATTCTTACAAATTTCTCTTATACTCTTTATATCTGACTCGTTGTATATTTGCTTACTGCAGGCGACGGCTGTTTCTACATCGGGATGGGAGGTAAAAGCGCGAAACCCAAGATTCCCTCCTATGAGCCCTACCAGTGCTGTCCCGCCAAGCTCGCCCACGGCACCAAGGTCGCCAAGGTCACCAAAATCGGTCCGATTGCCAAGGACAAGGGCAAATTACAAGGTACCGGTAGTAAGGATAAGCCACAACTGCCGGCTCTGAAGCCTATAAACAAGCTCACGGCCAAGGAGAGCAAAAAATCAGCGACGATATCAGCGAATGTCGACAGCGACGCGAAGGAATCCAAGTCTAAGACCAAGAGAGGATTTTTTGGAAGCGGTAAATATGATAAACAGCTGTGTGAAAAGTTAAATGGCTGCCCACATACGCGTGCTTCGTCGATCCGGTTCGACGTAGCGTAAGCATATATTCGCCGAGGAAGATAAACTTTCATCGATATAAAAATCATCGCACCGATTTATTTGGAACGAAATCCAATCTCTGACAAAACGATCGTGCGAATAAATCGCGTCAAAAAACAAGAACGATCAGCGACAGCGGCCACGCTGTGCGTCTGCGGTGGGCAGCGATTTAACGAGAAACGCCTTTTCGGAAAAGATAGCGAACGATAAACGTAATAGACAATGGGAAGGGAGGGAGGGAAAAGAGAAAATAGGGAACGAGTGAACTCGAAGATTTTCTAACAATAAGACCGAGCCACCCGCGCGTGGAGGTTCGTAGCGGAGATAAGACACCTGACTCTTCGTCTTCGTATCCCGGACGCAGGTACCTCGCGGGTCTCGCGCGGTCC